TGGAGAGCACTCAAGAAGCTAGAGTTGCCCTCGGCTATCGCCTCGGGCAACTCTTACGGGCTCTCCAAACTTTCCGCGTGCTCCATAACTCGACAGTGCACGCTAAAGCATGAACCAATTGTTAATTATAGCAGAAAACGGGGATTGCAGGACTTGTTTCTCAAATTAATTGTGTAATTTGGTAATATCAACTAATTTGAAATTGTAAATTGGCCACCGTACTGGAGTCAAAAAGCTGACGTTTCGAGCGTTAGCCCTTCGTCAGAGCGAATATGGAAGAACTGTGGGTTGTGTGTGGGTTTATATGCAGAAAGTGGAGCTACGCTATTGGTGGGAACATGGCGACGAGAAAAACACGAATAAATTAGTAGAATAAAAAGCGTTCGTTTATACCTGTGGGATTAAGAGTGCCGATTAGAAAGATAAACTTTTGTTCAAAAGTTTTGCGGCTTTCCGAGCTACCTAAATGTAAGGAAAGACCGCAGATTGCCATATGTTGCTTAGAATGATTAGGTAGATTAAAGTGTTTAGCGACTGGTTTTGATGCGTCGTTGTCATTCCTTTCTACGTCACGAAGGTGTTATCGGAATCGGTCACCTAGTCGTCTTCCTGTTTCGCCGATTTTTATCTTTTTGCAATAGGTGCAAGTTAAGGAATAGATGATGTTAGCTGAGGTGCATGTGAAGTGATCAGTGATCTTAATTTTTACCTTTTAAAGCACACACAACCCACAATTCCTCTATTAATCTATTTGCTACGACGAAGGGCTAACGCTCGAAACGTCAGCTTTTGTAATCGTTACGGTGGCCAATTTACCATTTCAACTTTGTTGATATATCCAAAGTAATTAAACTGATTGGTGCGATAAATCAGTTTACACGAACCCGACTTAATGCATTTAGTTGAATCCTGGCCTTGTTTTTTTTTTTTTCGGTTTAGTAATGCAGTTGTTTTCTTCTTGGGTTTCCTATGTCTCGATCTGCATATTACCTGGTATTTCAGATAGCATGTAACTGAACGAGCCTGTCTATTTTCCTTTCCAGTCGTAAACCCTGTACTAACAAAGGAGGCAGAGCAGTTCGAAGATGCACAGGACCTCCAAGTACACGTTGACGCATCCTTACCCGGCACACCACTGAGCAGTGATGTTAGTGGACGCAGCAGCCTCAGTGCCGGAAGCGCGTCAGCGACCACGCCGACTTACATCCGGTTAGAGGAAGGAACAGGGGAGGTTTCTGTTACCGTGCTACCTACATGATTTGTTGTAGCACATATCTGATTAGGTAGTTTACGCTTCAACTGAAATAATGGCAATTTCGGATTGCATCGAACTCACGCCGTTCTGCTCTTTTCAAAACTTAAAACTAATCGCTTACCCTGGTCAATCATTTGAATTTACTTCGAATCCTTACGGGCTTCGTTCGATGTCAGCTTATCCCCTTATGGGCTCTAGTGGCACTTGGTGGTGTTGCCCTCTTTTTACCTCCATTGAAAAGCGCTCTAAATAACAGATTCATCTGATCCTTTTCCTCGTGAACCCCTTATTATGATCAATAGTAAGGTTTGTTTTGCATTTTTACATGTTGCTAATGAAAGAATGGCTGAACTCACAAGTTAATGCCAAGTTAATTTACAGTGTGCGTTTACCCTACTACGACTGCCTAGTGGCGATAATGCCGCAAAACAAGTCTGCCCTTTCTTCGGGATTGCCTAATATACTGGGTAAATAACCACTGCTCGTTGTAACCAAGAAGCAGCTATGTAATAATCAAAGAAAAAATTGTATTTACTATTATTGAATGTCATCACAGAAGTACATCATCATTTTCGCGTTTATCTTTTTAACGTCAATGGTTTGCGCAATTCTCTATCATCTGTTAATTTTTTCATGTTTTAAGTAATGACTTTTGTCAAAGCTCCTCGAGCGTTTGCAAGGTGCAAGGAAATTTTGACCTCGAAATGAGGTCTGGAGGCGTGTAAGGCTTAGGCCTAGTTTCTACGTCGCGTTACAGTCGAATTTAATTCAAGGTCTCACAAGTAATTTAAATTCGACGATAGCGCGACGTCTAAAACAAATTAAATTCGTCCTTGACGTTTTATTCGTCTTGGTAAGACGGGTAAAATATCGATAACGCGTCTTCAGTTTTAACGTCGCACTAGCGTCGCGTTGAATGAAATGCATACATTTTCTTAATGTATTTCAATTTATTTTGGCGAGCCCGCGGCGACCCGTGGCGAGCTTTTCAAGTAATCCGCATGCGCAAAAGCTCGTCTTGGGCACTTCCCGCGCGAGTTTACGTTGTAGTTTACGGCTTTAGCGCTTTGGAGAAAAAGTTTGTCATCTTCTTGCAGTAATTGTGAGAAACAAACGAAGTATTCTAGTATAACGTGTGGTAAAAGTGTTTGTGTTCGATAGGAATGTTCGATTCTTGAAATTAATGAAGAAGCTATCGGCTGGCAACCAAATAAATGTGTTGGGTATTGTCTCAGATGTGCTCCTTGTATAGAAAAGCGTCAATGTGGATTTTTTCGAGCAAAATTGTTTTCAAAGCTTTAGCCCGCGCCATCTTTGTTTCAAAATGACACCTCTAACCAGAGGCACTGCTTTTGGGAAGAGAATTAAATCTTTGATCGTATTAATTTCGACGCATAAAACCACGCCACGATTTACGTCGACGGAACGACGAATTTAATTCCATTAAATTCGTCTGAATTAAATTCGACTGTAGCGCGACGTATAAACTGGGCCTTACACGTGAAGAAAAATTTGCATGGAGAGCACTGATTTAAAAAAATTCCTCGATGTTGAAATCCAACATGGTCTTAAAGAAACTAATAATGTGAAATTGCCCTTTTCGTTAGAAACGTTGTGTCCAATGACTTAGTAATTACCTTGGAGAACTAGTTGTAAACAAATTTCAGAATTTCTTCCCATTGCCCCGTAAGAAACTGGTCAGGGCTTGTTCGCAGCTTGTTTGACCCTTCGACTAGCACCTAATTTCTCCTTAGAATTTCACACATTGATCACCAGATCGCCCTCCTCGGCACTCAAGAAAATTTTAAAGAACTGTACTGAGAATATGCATACTGATGTCATGGTATGATAGCCTGCAGAGCAGGCGTTCTAGTGGAGTTTGGGCGAAAGTTAGACCTCGCGAAAAATAGAGCGAGGCGAAATATTAGGAGGTAGGGGGAGAGGGAGAGGAGAGAAAGGAACTGCATGGTAGTAGGAAAGGTTCCTTTCTCTCCTCTCCCCCTCCCCCTGCCTCCTAATTTTTCGCCTCGCTCTATTTTTCGCGCGGTTTAGCTTTCGCCCAAACTCCACTAGAACGCCTGCTCTACAGGCTATGGTGTGAAGGATTAGGAGACTCACGGAACCTTTCCTACTACCATGCAATTTAAAATTCTCCGAAAAATAATCAAGTTCCATTCATATTTATCGGAGGCATGCCCACTTTACATTATGACATTTGTTTAGATTTACCACTATTTAAACGATTTTGTAATAGATAATTTTTGTACATTACTCTCGCTAGATATTTTAATCGATTCAGTGTTTAACATGTGGCAAAGAATTTTTCTTTTTAAGAATTGAGAATGCTTGCCACAGTCGTGGAGCGTGCTCTGAATAAAGACCTGACGTTTCCCTTAGGGCAGTTCACTACATTGTTAAAAAACGAACGACTGTCTACATTTATTAATCAAAGTATTAATAAAAGCAGCATGAGTTATAAATTATAAATCTCCAATCCATTATATTTCAGTGTCCTTGGAGCATGCTAAAATCAAATAAAATTGTACAGTTTTGAACTCAATTTGTTGTTTTATTTATATTAATATCATAGGTGACAAATTACTCCTTAATTTTGGCGCGAAATTTCAGCGTTAATTTTTAATTTCACATGTGAAATTAAAAAAACTGCCATGGTAACATCTCTTGTATCTCGATCAGAGCCAAGATGGCGTCGAGATTTAAGACGGTGACCCGTGAAGTTACGAAATTAAGAGAAGCGGCCGAAAATTTAAATACGCGAAAGAGCACAATTAACTGGGTGCGAGTTTTTGAGAAGTGGTGTGACGAAAATAACCTTGAGAAAAACCAGGAGATGATTCTTCCCGAGCAGTTAGATGAAGTACTCGAGCGATTTTACGCCTCCGTGTGTAAACAAGACGTAATTTGTCACCCACGATATTAAAAGGTAATCAAATGGTTTTCTCGTGAAATTAGGAAATAATTTCACTTGTGTTTTGTCAAAATTCTGATAATTTCCCTCGCCTAAAGGCTCGGGAAGTTATCGGAATTTTGACAAAACGCGCGTGAAATTATTTCCTAATTTCATTCGTTGCCATTTGATTACACATACATATATATGAGAGGGCAACCACGAAACAGGTCTGTAGGGATGAAATGTAGTTGATTTTTTTCTGCCTATCACAAAGGCCCATTTCCAACCGAGGTGCCTTGCGCGCCCGGATCATTTTTCATAGATGAAAAATACGCTGTTTTCCTCGTAGTTGCGGAATCGCTTTGATATCTTCTTCCGTCTTACTAATTAGGGCTTTCAAAGTTCCATCTTGAATCATGTGCGAACAACAAACTATCGTAGTATCCATATCAGTAAATAGTTTTTAATTCTTACATGTATGACGGTGAAAAACGCCATTTGAAAAGTTGATGCCGCGGAAGAAGCGGTCTAGAGGAAGGCCGAGTCTGCCCGGCTCGGCAAAGGTTACACACCTAAAGGGCCGACAAAATCCAAGAAAAGGGCCTTTGAACGATCGATTAGTAGCGCCTTGTATACGATGGAAAATTAATTATAGCAAATTCTATTTTTCGAATGAAATTCCTTTCTTTTATTCAAACCGTGGGGTGCCAAAGAGAACACCTGAGCACTCCAATAAGCCTCATTTGCGATTAAAAGCCTATCGATCTCTACAGAGCCACTAGGGGCCTGTACATGATCAATGCATTGGAACGAAAAATCATCCAGGGTGTGTGGGGTTTTGTTAAAGTGTATCGCTACTTCACAAGTTGTTTTGTTTGTGAGCATAGCAGATTTGTGATTTCGAAATCTCACTTTTAAGTCGGTAGTAGTAGATCCCACGTATTGCAGGCGACATTTATATCTTTATGTATATATAGAGGGTAGGTTCCTAAGGAGACCGGTGCTGCGTCGGTATTTACGTTTTATCGACCGAGTTGATTATGCAAATATTTGCCCCGAAAGAGAGATAGTTTTCATTTACATTTTCAAATAATTTTTCAAATTTTATAGTTGAATGATTGATTGGCTTGGCTCTCTCAAGAGGTTTGGTAGGAGTCGTAGTATTTTATTTTTCTTCTGAATTCGTCTGTCAGTGTGGGGGTGGTCGAAGAATATCAAGTGCGCGAGTTCGTGGGAACCCACTTTCTGCCCGCGATCTTTCACTCGCGAATCACGTGAGTCGCGAAATGCTTTCCTGGAGGTAACTGAAAGAGTGTTTGTTTTTTTGAAGGAGTGGAGAGTTACGATTTCATTTTTCTCTTAGAGGGCAAACATTTCATGAAAAGCATTTTAAAAGCTGTGGATATATTGTGATTAACACCTTCAAATCAATACATGAGATTTTTTTACGCTTTGATTGTCACCATGGTAAATTATTCATAGAACGAGGGAGGAAAGAAAAGATCACCGTCGCGGCCACCGAGCGACGAACATCTGTTAGCCTTACAGATAGATCCACAAATGCCGGACAGCGAAATAACAAGAATTACAGGGACTACTGCGAACGGATTCCTTTCCAAGAATCTCCAGCCAAAATATAAGTATATTGAAGACCCTGCCGATGTCGTATCACTAACTTACAAAAATCAGTACAGTCAGTTTAACGTGAAATATCACGAGCTAAAGGTGGTCGCCTCCCCGATCTTCGGCCGTTTCAGCGGCGAACGAGTCGTTTTTGAATATGATTGGAACACAGTCAAGGTATCGACCGAAAATAACTCGGCTTACGTCATGTTTTTGCGAGCAGGGACTTCCCCAGAAAGTGTTCAACGATTCTGTCTCAATTTTCTTTACTCGAGCGACGCCGATCGAATTTTGAGGTAAGGCGTTAATTTTTGTTTTTACTTTTATGCAAATCTTTCGATATTACATGCCATTTTTACGCCAAGTTTACAGCAGTACATTGTATTTCGGAGACGAAGTGAAGAAGATTTTATTCAGTACAAAGACTTCTTGCAATACTAGAGGCGGCCCAAGCGGCTATATTTTTATCCAGTAACACAACACGCGGTAAAAAGAAAGTCGCCAAAATAGCATTAAACGACCCTAAGCAACAAGGCGGCTACGGATTAAAAGAAAGGAAAGTCAACAACTTATTTTCATCGCTTTTAATATCCTTTTTATTTTTCAATTTCTTTTTTATAATTTTTTTTCTTTTTTTACGGCACACGCTTACGCTAAATTCAATCTTCATTTGCTAGGTATTCCCGATATACGCTCGGGCCGCCTGTAATAATGCTAGTCAATGACCCTAGACTATCGATGCATCACTGTTAACAAGAAACGTGATTAATTTCACTTTTTATCGTCACAAGAATATATTTCGTTTCAAATCTGAAATACTCATGGCTTGAAAACTAGTTGCCTCTGATCATAAAATACACTTTCGCTACTTTATTTTTCTCATGCCGTCATTATAAAAGCTCGAAACAGATAAATTAAACACGAGAGACTTTTCCAAACAACGTAATATGTTGTAATGGGTCTGTTTACGTAAGGAAATCAACAGGTAATTCGTAAGCCTAGTAAATGTATAGCTTTTAGATAGTGATGCGTAAAGGTGGACAGTGCACCGTTTTATGGCGACGCTTTCGGTGGGCTCCAACGCGCGTGGGTATGTTATTTTTTTAGCTCCACAACTTACGTGAAAATACGCTTAGAGGGATATCTGACATTGCGTTTTTTTTTTCTAAGAAATTACAGAGGCGAAATTTACGCGGAAACAATCATCCTCAATGCAGTGGGATAGATAAAAAAAAAATCAAGAAAAAAGGAACCAGAAAAGTCCAGAACTTCAAAGTTTCCTGGGGAAGCCCAGACCTCTCTAAGAACGGAAGACTCTGCATGCCTTCAAAACTATTCTAAACCATCCACTCAAACCTCAAGCCAAATTTTATTGGGTCACTATGACTTTTTGGTCCGACCCCAAGTGGACCAGTGGGCTGATGAAAACACAGCGGTCAAACGTTTAGTGAAGCTCCAAGCGAAATGGTGAATCACGACAAACCGGTAAATGAAAAACCTTTGTTCACAAAAGTCTCGAGTTCTCCTTTTCCCTAATATTTTTTTCGCATATTCGCCGTTACAGCGGTTGTTTATTATGTATTTAACTGACCTTTTACGCGGGAAATTGGCACGCAGACGATCAAAATTGATCCCTTTGCACATGCCCTACGTTTGACCGCTGTGACCCTTCATTTGCCGATGAGTACTTAACCTTAGTGAACTAACCAGAAATCAACTCATGCATCTATTTCCTCAGAGAACATAGAATAAACGACGATGAGCTCAACATTAAATCAAAGATGGAAAGTGTGCCCGCATCTCTGACGGTGCAGTGTCTTAGATCAGTTGTTATCAACATGGAACGCATGTCCAAGAAGGAACTTCTGTATCTACCCAGTCCTTATCGAGAGCTTTTCGTTCCAGACTCTTTCATTCCGGTCAAGTTTAACCTTTGGCCCCGACATGTACTTGAGAATGGAGAGAGTATAATTCTAATGCTGAAAAGAGAAATGATAATCAGCGAAATGCTACTGTTATTAAAGCATAAATTAGAGCTCAAAAGCGATGTAGAAATGAGCTTGTTCAGAGGGAGCCTTCCGGTAGAAGAAGATGATGTTATCATGGACGGAAATGTCGACTACGATTGCGTCGTTTCACCTTGTCGTGGCCCGACAGCCATTGCCAGTGAAGTACAGCTTGAAAAGCATCACGTGAACGTACGGAAAAGTCCCACTAAGGAGGTAAGTACCACCACATTGCGTTTGATAAAGGAGGAATAAATCATAGAACAATTCCTCAACTGTGAGATTTTCCTCGGGGCGGTTTCAATACGCGAGAGCTACAGAAGACAAGGCGAAGAACAGAGGAAGGCTTAAAAGCAAATGGAATGATTGCGAACCGAGCCATTCACTTTTAAAGATTTGATCTGCAAGTCTCACATTCAGCCTGCTAACAAGCTTTCATTGTCAGCCTTGGAGGATAATAATAATCAACTTTATTTAATGAGGGTAAAACACATAACAGTATAAAACTGACAAACCAGTGGCCCTCTTAAAATATATTACAAACAATTATTGAAAAAGATTAAAAACTAATTAATTATGGAAAAATTAAGGATGTAGATTTTTTCCACCTGCGGGAAGGTTTGAGTTGAGACAAGACGGCAAATTCAGGCCAGGGGTTGCGGAGAGGGAGGGGCTGGTAGGGCCGCGGCTCCACCACCTTTTTGCGCCCCCACCACTTTTTTGCGCTCCCACCCCCGCGAAAAATAATTACTATGAGTTTATTCCTTTTTTCGATTTTCAATATAAAAACGTTATTTTCAATTGTCAGCCCTCCCACTTTACACCTTGCTCCGCGGTTACTGCAGGCTGGGTTTATTACGAATCAACTTAACGGCCTGCTCCCAGTTGGCTTGTTTGCTCAATTGGTAGAGCGCTACACTAGTATCGCAGAGGTCAGTGGTTCGAATCCCGTACAGGCCTGATGTTTTTCAGGTCTGATTTTCGCTATTGCATAAATAGCGCTCTCTGCTGCGAGGATCGTGCATCATACGTTGCATCATACGTTGCATTTTATTGAAACGTATTCAATAAGAACGTTTCTTGTGATTTCTCTTAGGTTATTATTGCGTCGCTGGTTGGAAAAGAAATGAAAGAACTGCACGTAAACCTCTCCCTTCCCCTCAAATACCTAGACATTCAATTGCGCCAGATTTTTCGACTCAAACCATGGAGTTTTTTGGTACTGTATCTTCCAAGCGAGGACCGCAACATATTTCACGCCGGAAAAATGATTTACTCAAGTTACGAAGAGGAATTTGCCAAGTTTCTTGTTTCCAACGGGAGGAGAAATTTCCCAAGACCAGACCGAGGTATGGATACATTAGGAGTCAAAGATATGTACAAGGAATGCTCAGCTTTCAAGAAATCACTTCGTAACCATGGATTTCGCCCTGGAATGTTAGTAGAGGTTTTCGAGATCACTGGCCCGAGTGTCCCGGTCATGTACTCTGGTGCAGTCACCAAGGCCCAAGTCCTTGACGTGAATCCTGAGTGGTCGATTCAGACATTTAGGTATTACGTTGAAGTGAGCACTCCAGAAGCATCGAAGATTGAATCTATCGACTACGTGAGAGACTGCAAAAACGGCAAAGTGTCGGATATTTTAAACATGATGAAGAATCTGTGGAATCGGCCCGATCGAGGAGGTCGGCTTGAGTACGTCAAGCTACGCAGCTGAAAAATTATTATTAAGATTAAATCTGGAATGATGGTCGAAACAAGTTCGAGCTTAACGCAAGTTGACGGCGAATACGGGGAACTCATAGTACCAATTCGCACTTCGTGGTTCATCCGATTTTGAAATGACCTGACAGAATTGCTACTTTCCTTTCATTGAAAAATTGTATGGTCATGCGATTTTTCCAACCTGAATTAAGGCCCTTTTTTAGGGGTTTATGATCGTTTCGATACAAAGTAGTTTCGATACGAGTCGATTCCATACAAACCGAAGTCGATTCGACACATCGACATCGTGGATTCGATACATCTCAAATTCCCTCTATTGGACTATCGGACTGGTAGACAGTTGAAACGTCCAAATTTCTCCCTCGCTAGTTTGAATCGAAACGAAGTTGTATCGGAACAACTTTCAACGGGTATCGAATCGACTTTTTCAATGAATCGAATCGACTCAGTTTTTATCGAATCAACTTGTATTGAAACGAGTTTGTATCGAAACGACCGGACTCCGTTATGCTTGGGGCTGAATTAAACTAAGTTGCCTCAGACTGATCCGTTAGCAAAGTAGGTAGAATTTCACCCAACATGGGAGTTTAAACGACGACATCAATTTAAAATGAGGAAATTTTTAATGATTAGGTACAAAACAATTTTATCATTCCTTCTTCAGCCTATCCGTCGCGCCATCAGTCGAGCGATTTCAAGGAGAGATTGATCACTCATCTGTTAGAAATAGAAGCAAAGACAAGTTACAGTTGTTACGAAGTTTTCATAGTATTGTTCTAATAATACCGTCGCCTGGAANGGGGGGGAGTCCTTAATATGCATTTGGTTTCGCCAGAGAAGAGTGAGGTTCAATATTTAAAAAAGAAACAACAACAACAACCTGACGTGCCCAAAACACCAGAAAGACGCCGGTTTAAGATCTCTCTCTCCTTTATATCACGATAACATGTTTGATATAGAGTTTTATCGAATATATATTTTTTTAATTGGCAAAATTGACGAGGCCCACCTTCCTTGATCTTATCCATGGAATCGCCGCGAGTTACTCTCGCGGCTTTGAAGAAGCGATCAAAAAATTCTTCTCTTGATGAGTTCCTGCCTTTTTTAAGCCCGACGACAATGACCTAAAAGTAATATTTTACAATCAGCAGGAATATTGCTATTTTAGTATTTTATTTTATTTTCATTCTGGCAAGAAACATACTTGAATTCTTGATCTTTGCAAGAGACAACACACACAGTGATTGGATAATTATGATACCTTGATGACGAGAGTTGTTACGATCAAAACCAGCTCTATTATTGTGGTGAGAGCCAGAGCCGCTGACCAGTCATCGTTGACTCCAAAAGATGCAGCAAAACTACTCACGGCAAATTTACCAAGCATGCTCTTGGCGTGTTCGCATTCCTCGATTTCACCATCCTTCAAGTCAAACACTTTTTTATCCACTTGAGTTTTTACTTCGCGACAGACGTGGAATATTTCAACGGAGCACTTTCCCCGGTAGTTCAGACTCGTTGCTCCTGAACTGTTCGGAAAAGAGTAGTTAGCTCATGTTAGAATTTCTTAGGTTTTTTCAGCCTTGTATTTAGAGCGACAATGTTCTTATTGCTGCATCCCTTAGTACGCTCGAGTCGTACTAATGGAATATTGGCCCTAGGTCGTTTATTCTTGGACGGACTGCTGCGCTCGGCCCGTACTGCCATGACCTCGGGCTCAAAAACCCCAGTACGGCCCTCGCGCTCGGTTAGCAAGGAGTTAGTATTTAACAGACTTTGAATTGAGCATTTAATCGATGAAAAATTTTCTTGCACCTCCAAGAGTGAAAATTACAGGTTTTTATTTTCAATGGGAAGACTTTTAGGATTAATAAGGATTTATCATATGGCAAGGTAGTCGTGAGGTAAATGTAAGCGTTCTGATTGGTTTTTACTTGGTCGAGATTTCGCCATGCAAACGTACCGTTTCCACGGAAACGGTCATAAGCCGTATATTTTTGTCCTCGATAGCCAGAAAATCTCAAATGTGAGTTTGATATCTGTGCCAAATAACAAACTACTCGCTAACTTCACCTACACGAGACGCACAGGGAAACATTGGCCCTCGCCCGTTTTTGTACGGACCTCGCTGCGGTCGGTCCGTATTGCCATGACCTCGGGTCCATTCGGCCCTCGTACTTGGTTAGCAAGAAGTTACTCTTGTGTCTTAACTCACCAAGATAATGGCAATTCAAGAGTCCAACTCTTTCCCTTATCAAGCTGCTTGTACATGTCGATCAGTTGTAGAGTCAGTGCTACTGGCTTGCAAGTCGAATTTATGAGCAGGACAGATGACTAATGGAGAAAATAAAACAGCACATTAATTTTAAAACCCGTAAAACGATCATAAAATTGTAACATAGCTATATGAATCAGTAACTCGACAATGAATGTAAAATTTCTCACCCACCTCCCCTTTGTTGTAAAAATTTATTTTTCTTGCGCTCAAAGACGTTGATTGTGAGACTGTCAACTGACCCTGTTGGTCTAAACATGAAATAATTAATACCGAACGCTAATCTTTGAAAATAAGAATAGTTATGATTTCGTCAAGTTGATTAATTAAACCAGCTTAAGAATCGCTCTATTGGGTAAAGCTGAGGACGCTACTTTGACCGTGGTTGAGGCGGGCCTGAGTACGAGGAGCAAAGATCAGGACATGAAACGAAATCTAACAGGCTTACATCCGGGATGGGGGGCCTTCATAAAGCTGGTTTGCGTCGATTTTTTGGTATCTTGTTGTGAATGATCATCTATTGATCAAAAAGATATGGCTTATTAAGTGGTTTAAGAAGCCTTTCGACTCTTGTTTTGCCTTGCGTTTTTAAATGGACATGAAAATCCACAGTCCACATAATTGAGCTAACTGACGCGCAATGAGTTTGCTAGTTTTCAGTCTTTGTCAAAGACCGCGACGCTCTGCCTTGTCATGGGTCGTGTTCTGTGCTAAAACAGCCCTGTGCGAGGGTAGCGATTTGGAGATGAAAACTACCGTAATTCCTGGGCTGCAACTGACTAGTTTTTAACAATTAGAGATTACAGAGCATTTCTTTGTACTAACATGAGGAGCATTTGTAGTAAAACATTCCATTTGGCCAAACGCTGACATTTATTTCGCAAGTGACAAGGCTGTGTTCATCATCGGTCCATGTAGACAGCTTACATGTATATTTACGCACGGTTCGGTCCTTGTGGTAGTACTTAGATGCAACAGCAATCCTGAAAGCAAAGCGGCTTGTATGGCGCTGTGAAATGAAAAAAAAAAAAAGTTATCAGAACGTTTTTTTCGCCCACAGGCTGGTAGATCATAAGACTGGAAGTTCTCCTGGTCTCTTTGGCAAACTTAGCCAGGATCGTAAGCAAGGACCGGAAGAATCGTGAGCGCTGCTAGAGCTGATTGCGCTCAGGCTGCCGAGGCTTATAATTAAATACTTTTTTTTGTCTTGCGGCGGAACAAACCCTATGAATTGAACTGCGAAAATGGCACTCGGTCTATTAAATGTACTAAATGCAGCGCCCTATACTCGCGGTACCATGGTCAGTTTTCTCTGACAGTTTATTTCCATCGCCGGCATGGGAGTTTAGTCGTTTCTCCTCACCAGAAAGCAGGCCAATAGGCAAACTGATCAGTTTCTTTTAAATTCACGTCAGAGGTATCAAATAAACTTTACGTCTTGATCTTTTGACTCCTAAGAGTGATTAACATTCAATTTCTCTTTACATTATTACCCCTGAATCAATCATTAAGGTCACGAGAATGAAGAAGGTTATCGCCAACTAGAGAAGCTCTTGATTGTTAAATGAATTCTCCTTGTCAGTTCCTTAGGAAATGTATAGACAACAGTACAGAGAAAATGTATACAGTTGTGCTGTGTACAGGCGGGTTAAGTGCCAACCGGGAAGAGGCGGATAGGTAACAGCAAAAGAATATTAAATTCAGTTTTTTTCCCCGGAAAAAAAGAAACAGATACTGGAGAGATCTAGCACCGTGTCTACGTGAAACGTGAACGGCAAATTGACCGCGTGACCACGTTTTTCCCGCCAGTTTTTTTCACATTTGCCGGTTTTATTCGCTTTTTCTTTCACAGAGTATAGAAGTCGGAAAAATTGCACCAAAACTACCAAAACTATTCATTCAAGAGCACCTTCAAATGCACCATGACACGAGCTCTCGCAAAGCTAAAGCAATAAGGTTCATGCTATTTTACGTGAAACGTGAAAGGGCAAGCTGACATTTGCCGTTTATCTTAAACACGGTGCTGAGTCTCTCTAATGAGATCGTAGAAATCTTACCGCTGGAACCTTAAAGGCTGACTTTGGCTCCTGTAGTTTAGTCATTGCCGTACATTGTAAGGCCACAGACATCTTTTTCGTCGAACGAGCCTGGTTAACAGCGATAGACAAGTATATAGCCACTGGTTTGCATTAAGATATCATGCGTGATTTTACGGTTAATTGTTATCAAACGTCCTCTGTATCTTGTTTAGGAAATTGTTACAGTGTGACATTCAAATTATCGGTAAAAAGCGAGAATATTTGGGTTAAAAAATTTTCTTATGTTTGAAAATTAGCAAATGGTATTTGGATATTGGGACGTGTTTAGGGGAGAGAGAAAGAGAGAGAGAGGGGAAAGAGAGAGAGAGAGAGAGAGAGAGAGCTTTATTTACAGAGGGTAGCACTTAATAACTAGAAGCTAAGGAACTCGTGGCCCTCAGAACACCCACCCATCCCACCCCCGGGGAGGACACCCATCACACATGCAGTAATCTCGTGCGTGGGAAATTAACGTCTCCTACCCCTCATATAACCCTGCAGGAGAAGGGGATTACGGTTTATTCGTCCTTATCCGAGAAGACTAGAATATCTAACCATTTCTTGATATCATAGAAAGGTAGCAAATTCTCCTCAGTTATTTTAAGACCCCGAGTGTTGGTCCGGCCGGGGCTTGAACCCTCGACCTCCCGCACAACAGTCCGGTGCTCTACCAATTGAGCTAACCAGGAGGCGGTTTAAGACCTCTGTTTGACGCTTCTTCGTAAATTATCAACACCTTGATAGTTAGAATATTTTCTCACCGCGTTATGTAGCTTCACACTGATATCCGCAAAGTGTGGGTCGTCTGCGGTCTCGAACTTCCAATGTTTGCAACTTTTGATGTCTTTCGATATTGAGCGTCGCTGCTAATCAAACGTCAAAAGTAATGTATTAGATATTATCTAGACGATAACCTTTTTATCTTGCTGTTTATTCATTGGTTAATTGTATCAAAAATTTTCTTTCCGGTATTTCGATCATTTGATTAGACGATGATTCGGTGTTTCGTGTGGTTTTGTTTTCTTTATTCCGTTGTTTGTGTGATGGTTACCTGTCGACGAAAGGGTAACTTAAATATCAATGCCATCAATGCGGTGGTTTAGTTGTTCCTTGCGTTTGATTAAAGCGCTTTTTAGAAAAATGGAGAAACACCATTAGCTTATTGCACTCAAAAAGCAAAATTCAACCAAGTGCTAATGAGAACTTAAAAACATATGTATTCCGTAAATTCCCTTTATTGCAGAAGTGCGCAAGTGGCAACAAAGTCGTGCTAGGCTCACGCTTTGTACCTGATTGGTCGAGAAACCGGCGCCAGCTTTTTAGCAAATCTCAGGGCGTTGTAAGGCCTACCGAAGCAATTCTGGATCATTCTTTGGTTTTTCTACGTTTCGTTGGGATTTGCTCGGCAATTTCTTGTTCTTTTTTTTTTCGTTAGCTACAAAACTGATTGTCCTGTTTTAACTTCACAAGAATGATCTACAAAATGTCGGACTTTGAAAGAGTATCTTTTTCTTTCATCGAATGCGTATGCGTGTTCCTGAATTGTATGTAAAACACTTACCAGTTTCTTGTGTTTAGATTTTAAACCAGTACAAGAAAAGATCAGAGAGAAGCCAATAATGTAAGTAAAAAGTGCTACGAGTCGCCTTCTATATCGGTTATTCATTCTTTGTTTGCTTGTTTTTTTTTTTTTTTTGTGACTCGCAGAAAGTGACATCATAATGACTTCTTAGAAATCAGCGCGGGCTCAAATTCATACCCAGGATCTTCTCTACCACTTGCACATTCAAAAGAACCTTTGATCGGGCCTACTTTCTTCTCTGTACATAAGACCAGAGGTTCAAAGGAAGTTTATAAGTAAAACCAACACTGCAAAGACAAATCCGGAGGAAGGCTTTGGGATTTTCGGTCACAGTGCGGTTTTGGCGATATTTTAGATCGGCTTTTCGGTTTGTTCCGAAAAACTTCGATTTTTCGGTTTTGGTGTTCATTGGGTTTGGCGGAATTTCCGTTATAAAGCATTTGAATTTCCAGTTTTCGTCAATTTTGGATTTGATATTCGATGTAGTTTTCGGTTTTTCCTATTTGGGTTCTGGTTTCTCTTCTATGCTCCACTTGTCACTACTTTACAGTTTTCGGTTTTGATAGAATTTTTGCGCTTTTGGATGCGTACGAGTTTTTCGACTGTTTTGACCCCTCAATCTACTCTTACTACGCGAATTGAAAAGTGCCATCAATTCGCCTTTTGAAGAATTTTAATCGAGCGTCGGACGAAATCATAATAGATGCCCTCGTCCTCGTCACCAGTACCCCAGGACGCGCGTTTTTCTGCTCGCGTGAGATTTTGAGGCGCGTCGGGAGAGGTTTGCCGGGGGTCTGGCACTAGTTATCAGAGCAAGACCCCTCTTGCGTTGTTCATGGTTTCTTTCCCGTAGCCTAAGTGTAGCCGCATTCTTCACCCTCTCCTGAGGGGGGGGGGGGGGGTACGGCTACAAGAAGGCTAACTTTCCTGCAGGCTGAGAAACGCAGTACTGATGGCAAGGGTATGCTTGCAAGCTAGATTAAGTAGGGATGAAATAACTCTGGACAATATTTGGCAGAAAATTATTTTTTTATTAATATATGCATTAAAATTAGAATTATGCTTTTCTAGTAAATCATTTGAACCTTCTTACCAATTTGGAGTTCTACATTATGTGCATTAATCCAGCCCTACAGTTTTTTTTTGGAGGGCCTTATTCGCTTTCTCAACCAGAAAAACAGACATGTGTATGGCATTTGGTAAACAAAAGCTAACAAAAATAAATCTAGACAACACCAATAAGTCCAAACCAATTTTGAACCCACTACAATCACGTAAATTACAAATTTATACTGGAAATCTACATAGCATAAATTATATATTGTTGAAGAACAATAGCAGTGATTGGATACATACAAATCATAAATTAAATGATACTTCCAAAAGCAGTTTTGGTAATTATGTGGTGGGGACAATGACCTAAGCTTTCATCAAGGAACTTCTTCCATGCTTTGTGGAGATTAAATCATGATCATTGATTAGATCAGTGGCTAGAGAGCAGTAGTGCGATCAGACGAGCCATCTAGAAAGAGTCTGTAGGATGCCCCACAAACACATCCTTAAAAGTGCCCACCCAGAAGGCTAATGTCAGCTTACCTAGGAAAGATGTCATCATCAAATATAATTGAACTGGCAAGCAAACTAAGAGTAAAGAAAAGGGGTGCTCTTACATGTCTATCATGGCCATTAACATTTGGTTTGGAAATAAAAAGAAAAGCCAGAAATGGAGACATCAGAACTTGAAACTAAGGTCATTATAATAATGATCCTGTATACAAAGGGGAAAAAACGAGTAGGGGAGTGACAAAATGGGAAAAAATTGGAGAAACCACCACCCAACTACCCCCCCTCCCAAAAAAAGGTACAAATACAATTACTATGATTTAACTAATATCTAAATTATGTTTACAATCAAAAAATACAAGAGCTCAAGGAGTTTCTATTTACAGAGTTTTCACAGCCAAACAGAAAGCCAGGTGTTTTATGGGTATCAGTGGTTTCAAAAAAAGTTATACTCTAACATATGCAGGAAAAAGTTCCCATCAGGTCTTAAGTGATACTTCAAAAGTTGCCCCAATTTCCAAACCCGGTTCAAATTATATTGGACCTGCCACATTTTGTAAAAATAATCAAAAGACATCTTCATCAGTAAAAATTATTAACCTATTTACTAGCTCTGTCTTGAAGTTTGTTAGATGCATGTGTGAAATTCCAACTCTTTCAGGACTTTATGTAGAAGTAGGGCCCAAATTTAGGCATTCTTCAGTTCAGTAAAGGGGAGTACACAGCATCGACATCACACCAGCATTCACACAATTATGTTCTGCTGCACTCAAGCTGCATCTCTTCTTCAAAATATCATTGGAAACACTAACTCACTGTCAACTATGTTTGTGATCACAATGACCATGTTATTGTCTAGCCAATGACCTGGTTCTTGTTGGAAGAGACAAGTAGGAATTGGCCTTCTGTTAACAGCCAAAGAGGGAGGGCAGAGGAAGGAAATGTAGTCATCTTGAGGGGAGTGCAAGGGCAAAGTTTACTCCCTTAACCTAAACTGCATATGAATAATAATCATTATCATTTGATGAAATGGAAAAAAAAAGGCAATCATGCAATAATTTACCCAGTTGTTTAAAATACATATTCTATAATGTCATATTAACAGAAAACAAAAAAATTGTAAACAGAGAAAAATTCAGTAAATGTTTCCCTGTGTTGCTTCTATTTTTGTTGGTAATTCAGCAATTTTCAGTGCATCTATTTTCAGAAAATTTCACTCCAAAATAGCAAATGATACCACTCAGACTTATCAATGATCATATGAAACAACATACTTCTTCAGAGTGTAAAATTGAATTTTAAGACTTCTTTTGCACATAAGTAGCAGGGAAAAGCCCTTCACTTCCAGTTGATAAGTTTATGCCTTTCCACCAATTTGCATCTTCCATATCAATAACCTTTATAGAATCTCCACGTTTAAAGTACAACTCTCCTTCTTCTTCTGGTCGGAATTCATATGCCGCAATGTATGTATCTTGTTGCTGAGTGAAAAAGGATAAAAGTTAGAATTCTTACTAGAGTATTGAAATTTACCTACTATATCAATAAAATCAGTCAGTGTAATGAACAAGCCACTGCCCCTGGTTTTTTCCCTTTTTTTTTCATTTTGTCAAGTTTCCATGATAATTAGGCAGTACCCTGTGTTCCCCCTAACTTAAGCACAGCAGGAAAAATAAATTTTCAAACCAGTAACAGCGATCCTTCTACCTGTTGGAGTTTCAAGAATTCCAGGTAATAGTGACAGGTTACCAACTTATTACCAACACATTAGCAACAGTTGGCCAACAGTGTTAAGAAGACTAAAATTGACCGAAAACAGTGTCAAAACTATTCCAGTTTACCACCCATTAACAGGGTACCAACAGGTCACCAACTGTTGGCTGACAATTAGCCAAAACTTTGGCATGTAACATAACGCAAACTGTCAGTCAACAGTTGGCTGACTGTTGGTTGTCTGTCCACCAACTGTCCACAATATCTTTTGGGAACCGTTCTTCACTTTTACCAGCAATTTTGACTGGTAATAGATACCTCACATGATAAGTACTTCAATTCTCCTTATTGTTCTCTCTACATTCCTATATGGTGCAGACCAGGAAAATTATTACATCAATCAGGAGCTTCTTAAATTGGTGATCATTTCTTTAATTCTCACAATGTTTATATTTGATTCAAGGGTGATACCATACGGAGAAATTAGAAGCCATTCACTGTGAAAAATGGCAGTTAACACCTGAATAGTAGATATATCTTATTAAATGTTTTGTTGGGTAGTATCGCTGAGTATTTTTATGACTTGCGCCATATTTTGACAAGCCTGTAGGACTCCTCAAAATACAAACAATGAGTAAAAATACCTGGTGATACTACCCAACAAAACATCTAATAAGAGATTCAATATCCAACATGGCAAATTGTTATTTCAGTGCGGGCAAATTAGGCAAATATTTCTGGAGTATAAATATTGCAAGATATTTGTACTAGTCTTGTGCATTATTTGTACTCTACAAAGCCCAGTTGGATAATAAAACAGTGTTAGCAAGAGTAAAGTATTTGATATAATTGCAGGTTTCAATTCTTGCAGATTTTGGTGATAGTCACTGAGCCGTAAAAATATGTTCCAAAAGAAAAAATCAAGCGAAATAAATGCTGAAAACATTTACTTCCATCAGTCAAAAGACAAACTTAACCAAGAAATCAGGAGTCAAGTTACATTCTTTGAATCTGAAACCACCACAAATATCCATCTGAAAAAAAAAAATTGCAAGCACTGGTTCCAAAAAAATATTCAATCATCTCTAACCAAGTTTAAAACTTCTCCAAAATTTGCTCTCAAAGCATTAACTTCACTGTAATCCTAAAACTCTTACCTCTTCATCTTGCATCTCTTTTAAGTAAATAGTCTGTGATCTGCTGACAGAGGATGTGCGATGATAGTCGACTAGCTGGTTCAATGAGTTAAACTTAACAACCCACAAGAAATACTTGCCAGCCCCATCGCGTAAGACTTTAAAGTGTTGTACACCTTCACCAAATCTGTATCAAAGGGAAACCATACAAAATTGCACAATTTATAAATAAAAACAAGTTGACAATAAATTTTCAACAAGAACTTACTTTCATTCAAGCCAAATAAGAACAAAGATCAACCTCCTATGTTTCTTTGTTAAGCATCAAAAGAACTAATCACATGAAGGTCCCTTGTTCAACTCCTGTTTGGGGTGGTAAGGATTTCCTATTTTTTTCCTCCTTGTAATCCTATTTCACCATTAAAATGAATGATGAACCTTTTCCATAATAAAATGGTCTCTCCCCCCCACCCCCCCACATACACAAAGTAGTCACTATTGTTACTCTGAGGGAAAGAAACATATAAACACTGCTTAGAACTTAAAGCCATTTTTAACATATATTCAATTCACCCACATGAACAATTTACATATTTCATGGAAGCAACCCTTACCTCACGGACAGTGAAAAATCCCCTGTAATCAAAATAATCAGAACATTTGCATCAGCTCTTCCTCAGAACAATCATAAGAAGTATACACCTCTTGGGTGAATATAGTGCTTTCGGCATGCACTGATTAGCGAGTGCAGAAATCAAAAGAAATTTAGTATTCACCCCTGAGCAGCCAAAGAGACAAAATTGCATGTCAACGGTTTAATTTCTTACCATCTTTTGGTATATTGATAGAAATAATTAATACTAACTTTTTGGTACCTGTGTGGTATCAAGGCTGTGCTCTAAGAAAAATTGAAGGAAGCCCAGTGCTCTGAAACTGTGAAATCCAGGGTGCACAGCATATGCTTTTTATGAAAAAAAAACTAAGATTCCTGAGTCGCCCAAGAGCAAAAGTAAGGCACCAGGGGCCACAAGGTGTGGCTAGACCACAGTCCTGGGTATATACTAAAACAATTATTCACCTCAGTGTTGGTGAAAATGGTGGATACTTATTCACCACTATTCACTTTGGTGAATAACTGTTAATTGTTTTTACCATTCAACTACCAATATCGGATTGTTAATTTCCCTTCTAGCTGCTAAACCCACTTCCTTGCAAATTAGTTATGAGAATTTGGTGTTAAATAAAAACAACAGTTTCTACTTGATAAGTTTGAGTATTCTCAGAACAAGTTTGCTGAATAATGAATGGATATTATAGGGAGAAGTTACATAATTACTGTATTAAATAATCACTTTTTGGAGTTCAAGTGTTAACTAAAATGCATTTTTGCCTGCCATAATCCACCCAGTAATTAGTCTCTATTACTTAATTCTATTGTCGAGTAACAAAGATCTGAAATCCAAGCAATTATGGTAATCTCAAATGCTATCAAAGCCAAGATTATTGGGATAAAATCACACAGGAAAAATAGATTCTGTACCTGGCGTACTTTCGCTTTCTCTGATGAGAAAAGCACCATCAAATTTCTGTTTCAAAAGCAGTTCTTCTGATTTAGCTCGTGTGATTTTGCCATGAAACCAACTGCATAAAAATTGAAAAATAAATAAATAAATAATTCAAGAAATAATAATCCAAAAATTAGTACATATAACCAAAAAATATGACAAGAAAAATTCAACAGTATTAACTATTAAAGTGCCACTGAGATGAAAATTGACCATTTAATTCTGGGTGAATTTGTTTATAGAATGTTGCATTGGGTCAAGTTAAAACCCTTTTTTCCATTAAAAACTCAAAACAAACCTTTAATGACCAATATTACCACTTCAAAGTCACTAAAAAACCCACCATCACTCCTGAAAACAAGTTCAAGCCAAGCCCGCAATCATACAGCAGAAAATGTCATCATGATGTCAAAGGCTCAACAAACTTATGCTTGCTTTGTTATGTAACAACTCTCTTTGTTCGCTGCACTGAGAATCACACATATTACTTTTTTGAGAACTGTTTTGTGGTCAGTCATGAAATGTCAACTTTCACTGATGATGAATTGTCCCAGAAATCATCTGAAACTTCTGAGGATAGTTTTGTGTCAGCAAACAATGAATTTTGACAGTGAATTTTTCTCCATGTAGCATTTGAGGTTGAGTCGCATTATTGCCTTCAAATTGTATATTTGCTGGTAAGGCATTTTCCCTTTTTGTAAGAGATAATCAGATGATATATGATAATTATTTTCAACAAGAGCTGATTGTGTATCCAGGTGGATTGGCAATTTGTGAAACCATTTCTAAGCCAAGCCATTAACGTGTTTGCCTCAATGCATTTGGTCAATGATCTCATTAACCCTTTCTTGCATGCTTTTTACTATCAGTGTTTTAAGAGCTTTGAAGTGAACTCTGTTGTCGAGTTGCACTTTGGCCTCTTTTTCTTTTTTTTTCTGTCTTACTCGTGATGACTGTTGTTGAGCTGCTTCTGCAAGGTTGAAAGCAGAGTTCTTTTCCAACTCTTTTAGAGCCTTGACCTCACTGCATTACAAAGTATGTTATGTTTGAGATACAATAATCTCTCCAAGTTGCATTATGACAATTTTTCAAGTAGCTCTTAAGGGCAACATAAGGCTGAACTGGTGGCTTCCAGTTTGATACGAGACAGATCTAGATGTGTTTCTTAGTTTAGTCCATGAAAGGTGTATTGGAGGTGCAATCATCTTGCAAATAAATTGAGAAGAAGAGTTGGACTGATTTTATATTCATTTGCCAAATGTTGGAATTAATTTGAGACCCTTTAATAGCATGATGACTTGGCTGTCAGATGGTTGATAGTCTGAGAGTTTTTTTAAGAAATTTTCGTTTTTCTCCGTTTCTTTCTCTGCAAGCCCACATTTTAAAGTGTTTCTACACTCTGTGTCTAAAGCTATTTATTCTGCACTTGCTGATGTTAAAGCCAGCTTTTTTAGAGTCAGAGAACCCAATGTTTGCTGAGTACTTTCCTTTGTGTAAGGTATTAAACTAGAGAGTTGTTAAAGGCAGATACTGATTGCCACACATGTAAAGGTAACAAAACATGTAGACTTCCCTTTCGTCAAGATCACACGGAGGATGGTTTTTCTTGTCTCTCTTTTTCAACAGTGAGCACTGAACCTGGCAGAATTCTTTGCCAAGATCCTTCAGAGTACACAGATCTCTTGAAACAGTCTTCTGAGGAGTGTTTAGAGCAGATCACAAATATTCCTGCAGGACTGAAGTTTGTGGACAGATTCACACATATCGCACCCATTTTTCCCAATCTGACCTATTTACAAGGCTCCGATGCGAAGAAATACCACCAACATGGTCTGCAGAATTGCTACAGCCTTGAACTACACATTGATGCCACGTCATTTTTGTACATGTTTTCATAAGAATAGAGTAGAGCACTCTGCTACGTTTGTTTGACATTTTGCCATGTGAGATTGAGTTGAGCCTTTGACATCACCTCCTCTTAGTCCTGCAATCAACTTCCGGAACATGGTCAAATAAAGGCAGACGTGAAATCACGAATTTAACAGCCCAAACAAAGATACTTCTTGTGCTCAGACAAGATATAAATTTAGCTGGGTAGGTGAAGGAGACACACTGAACAACAAAATGAAAAAATCCCCGGGCACTTTAAATAGAAGATTGCAATTAAAGAACTCCTTGAGTACCTTCAACTTTAAGTTTACCACTAATTAAAATAAACTACTGGTAACTTCAGATTCCATTCTTTAGTTTGCTTTATCAATCTACATAAATGATACCAGTAGATAGTTTGAAAGCACAAATAAATAGTAGATGTGGCTCAAGATATAACCAAGAGTAACCGATGCTTCTTTGAAAAAGCATTTTTCTAAAGAACACCAAATCTCAATCATGCCAACTAAAATAATGAGTGAGTCCATGAATTTAAAAACAACAACAACAACAACACTTTGAAATCGCCAAAATTTGTATGTTCTGAGAATGGGAACATCAATGGCAAATTATTTAATTTTCCATTTGGAACTGAACACTGCTCACACATTTTACGCTGATGTTAAGATGCGGCACCATAAGAGAAGGGAATCACATCCAGCCATTTGCAAATTTCTAACTAAAAACATAAATCCACTTTTTTAATCAACATTTTCCTCAGTGTTACCTTCCTGAACGCTTGACCCTTTTAACCCGAGATCCACCCTATCCGAGATCTAATTTCTCCTAACAGCAGTGTTGCTGAGTCAAATTATGAGAATGAAGGAAATGATCACCAATCTTTCAATTTTTTATTGTCAATCAAATTCTCCTTTTTAGTACCAAAAGAAAGATAGAGAGAAGAGTTTGGAGAATTTAGATACTGATGTCTGGGTGTAAAGGGTGAAAGTCCCTCATATTTCATATTTATTATAAAAGCTTCTCTATGAGCAAAGTTCAGGGTGACATCGTCACAAAGAGAGGTGGAACGTTCACTGGAACAGACCATTTAGGTTACTATGTACACATACATGTTTACAGACCATAGCCAATAGAAAAACTTTGCTAGATGATTGTAATCATACTTAGCAATGCAAAACTGCAATTTCATTTTCCAGTTATAAAAACAATATTTCACAAAGAAGCATAGTGAGTGAGTAAGTTAATGTTTATGTCACAAATTCACATCTTGGCCTCAGTGGATAAGTTTCTCTTTAACAAGAAGTAACTGATTCCTTTTACTGGCAGAAACTCATTTGCTCAAAATTAAGAACTTCCTCATCACAATCTACTTCTTTTCAAGTGTTCTATTTCTGAATATTACATTCAGAGCACAATTGCATATTTCGCAACGTGACAAGGAAGATCAAAGTAAAGTTCCTGGAAGGATTTTATGGGGAGAGAGATTATGTGACTTATTCTTGTTGCTGGTGATGATCGGCCATTTCAACAAAACCAGTAGTCTGACTACTGCATTACGGTAGTGAAGGTTTGTTATCGTAGCAGCTTATTGACTTGGCAGAAACAAGGGTCACTTCAAACAATACTTCCCTTATAAACATTCAACCTTGAACACAATGATTCAAACGAAAAAAAATTCGACCTCTGAACAGATATAGAATATAACATTTGTGGTTCCCGGTACGTCAAATTTATGATCAAGATACAATTCGGCCATGGTGATAGGGTGGAATTATGTGGTAACCGCAGTTGTCATTTTGTTCTGTCAAAATGCGATGTTTTCTATCTGAAACGATTCTTGTCATAAACCCTTATAAACATGCTGACCTACGGGCATTACTTAAGCAAGAGTAGAAGTTCACTTGAGAGTGTAGTCTATATACCTCAAATCAGCGAAAAACTACTACGCAGAAAAAAGTTCTGACACGAGCTTGTACACGTACATGCATTTATGCACTAACCTGTGCGGTTTCAACTGGATGTAGTTCGCTGGAACAAGCCCCGATCGCCCTTCTTGTTCAGCCTTATACCAATTTTTATCGTCATCTGTTTTGATAATCTAAAACGACAACCAAACAAGACAACATCATAAATTCCAGTGTGTGGGCATTTTTAGCGGTATAGGCATCTTTGTTTATATTGAGCAATGGCGTCCGCACAAAGAAGACATTCTGCCTTCGATTTACCTTTAAAATCGACCCTTTCTTAAAAGAAAGCTCATCTTCTGCGGTAGCTTGGAATTCATGCTTCGCTGTAGCTTCCATTTTGCGACCTCTTCCCAAATGCGACGAACTTCCTACTACATGAATATAGGGCTGTACGTTCGAGAACAAATATGATCGACTCATGCGTTCGAAGTAGGAATGGGAACGAGTCGCCTTCATCCGTTTCCTAATATGGACTTAGTCATCTCGAATTCCGAATTCAGCTAAACCCCAGTCCTAGACCCATCGGATCAAGTGAACCATGTGTGCCCCTTTTTAAAATTGTCTCTTTCCTTCGACCGATTCTAATAATGTAAGGGAACTTCTGCCCCAATAAAAACCATATAGACTGATAGTAGACGCCTAAAAATTCGGGAAGAGGGCTTTTTGATAATCTGTTAAATTCCCTTCCTAATGTACGCAAACTGATGGTGATAATAGTAGTAACATCATTATTTGAAACATTTGCTCGCAAAACTCAATGCTAGATCATCACTATTATACATAGAAACTTCTAAAAACTTCTAAAATCGTTTATGAAGCATTTTGATTTTTGCTTAATAATATTAACAAAAACTAATAATAACTAATAAAACTGTGAAAATAAAACCTTTATTCACTATAATCACTTAAAATATTAACAGAAATTATGACAATATGCCTGAAAATAAAAAAAAATGCATTAAAATGTCTAATAATAAAATTTATCTGAGTCAGTTTGGTCAATTGATCAATTAATTGAAACTGTATATTTTATTAAACCAACAACATAATTTTAAATATTTAGAAATTTGATAATAATATCAATAGTAATGAGTAATTGCACAAAGTGAGTGTCATCCACCCTCTCAGTTGGATCAAAAAAATACATTTACAGCTCAGAAAACTCTAAATAATCCAGATATGACATTGGTGGAGTGAATGAATTCATCATCAAAATTTCATAGGAAGACAGTACTGTACTTCATTTAAGTCTGCCCTAGATAGCAAACATTGTGCCATATGAGCTTCTTGCAAAGTGGAACTCAACTACGCAGGCATGTCAGAGTAAGCAGTTGTTGATGGATAATAAGTTCCAGGCACAAGTCAAGTCTCATGATGGTTTTTCTAAAGGGCAAGTGGAAACCTTAGTTGGTCTTCTATCATCCAACAAAATCACAAGGAGGCAACATTATTTTCTTCTCCTTCTTCACAATCAGCATTGCAGGATGTGCCTACAGGCAAAGAAAAGTTCACACCGAAATGCTAATTATAGTGGTCTGCACATGATCATTGCTAGACTCCTTGGGTCGGGTCAGGCTTGTGCTGCTCAATGCTTCCTGCCTTATTGCAGGCAAAGAAACCCTAGTGCCAAAGTGCTCAAAATGAAAGCCTGCTGGCAAGCAACCTTCTCCAGGGGGCCAACTGCCATTGGCTGCTTTGGAAGAATGTCAGGTCATTTCTCCCATTTTGTCTCCATAATGTACTCCACATAAGAGTACACCATGGGAGAGGTAGTGGATGGGACAGGAAAGAGAAGAAATCCTCCCTTTGCTTTAAATATCTCAGTCTATGCATCATCACTTTCAATGCTATATTGCCCACTCACACTTTTGAGATGACCAAGTATTAGAGTCACAGTTTGCCTCAGCCTAAAAGGGACTAAAGGGGTTTTTTCTTACAGTATCAATAATTTCCCAGTTGAAGGGTTATCTTCTTCTTTTTTTCCTCTTTGTTCCTAGTGGAGCTCCCCTTGGGGTGATACCTTGTCATGGTGGAGTTGTGTCTCTAGGACCCAGAGAGCTGTGCCAGCAGGGACTTTGGTCCCTGGCAGGTCTAACCATGCCAGATTGGTTGAAGGGCAGAGACCAAACGAAGAACAGCCCCTGGTCCTCCAGGTTGGGGGTTGGGCGGCGGGCTGATAACTTGCTCCCAGAAAAATAAATATATTACAGAAACCAAAACTAGAATTACCACTGTGCCCTATCGGGAAGCAGGGGTACAAGATACTAACACCCGATTGGAGCACTGTGTGAAGCAAAGAAAGGTTATGGGAATACATAAATATAAGAAATAAGGGACAAAGATTAACCCTACACCAAATTCTCATGAAATGTATGGTAGTCAGTTCGGAGAATTGATATCTATGTGTTGGGGGTGAATCAGGTAATTTTTTTCAATTCTCAAATCACCATTTTGCACACTAACTTCAGAGAGCAGCTGATATTCATATAATTGGTACACCTCTAACTTCATCAAATGCTTCGAACTTAAAGTCATCTTTTTAAGGGGAGTGACATTGACATCTACAAATTACGAAATCTACATACTATAATTACATGATAACATACACTGACTTAGTCTTTCTGCAGAACAAATGAGACACCAGGATGTCTGATTTAAGTAGAAATGTCCTTTTACGAAATTTGAGTTACTTTCCCTTGATACACCACTTAATTAAAAAACTAATACTCAAGAAACTCTGAGAAAAATTAACACACAGATCCTGAAAAAAGGCAAAGTGTTTATACTTAAAAAGTTGATCCCAGAATCGTAAGTAAAGCGGAAACATTTCTTGAGGTGAGGTTTAAATAAAGATGGAATAGACCAGTCAAATGTTGTGTAACTAAACTGAGATGTTGTATCTTAGAAGTACAGTCTGATAGAAGAAAATATCTTTATCCCATTTGTTAGACTTATTTCAGCAGCAATTAATGAAATCAAAACTAAAATTAAATGTTGAATTTAATTCCCTTCAAATATCAGACCCGCACTTTAGTGGGGAGTGATCTCTTTCTGTATAAATGTGTGAGCAGCTCCACAATATATTTACACTGTACACTTGACATATGGTATAATTATTATGATTACTTTGATAATTGAGACATGAAGTAACTATTAGAGTCTTTTTAAAGCTCTCTTCTTGTCTTTTTTCTTCTTGTCTAGTGCCTTGTCACTGGCTCTTTTAATCCCTTGGGTTGCTTCAAAAGTTTCTCCTTTTTCCATACTCTCCATTTTATTACTGTGATTTGTCTTGGCATGGATGTCTGTCCACCACTGAGCTCGTTTTGAATAGTCATCATATCTTTCTAAGAGCAGCTTGCCAGCTTCTTCATTTAATGCAGATTCAGGATTTGGAACAATAAGAAGACATTTTATAGTCTACCAAGAGAAAATCAAGAAAGTCAAATGTTACATGTAAAACACAAATCATTCTCCATTGCAAACCAATGAAAGAACGTACTTCCATAAACTATGATAAACCCCTCCACCCCACCCCCCCAGGCTTATAGTTTCTTGGGCTTGGAAATGGAGGGCTTACGAAAAAACTTACAGGAGCCAAAATGTGAGTCACTACCATTTTTTTCTGATTTGTCACCCAGATCTGGTGATCACCATATACAGTCTGCATTTTATTTTGGCTTGAAACCTACAATACTTGAGGCGGAATGAAATCAGGCTTTCAGATACAAGTACAAGTTGTATCGAAATGCATTTGTGGTAGATTTCCATTCATTTCCAGGTAACCACTCCCCTCCCTTTAAGGTAGACTTATGGTTAGTGAGCTGGACTCTGGTTAGTGAGCTGGACTCTGGTTAGTGAGCTGGACTCTGGTTAGTGAGCTGGGCTCTGGCTTGAGACCCAGCTGATCAATGCATTGTGTTCTTTGGCAAAACACTTTTGATCACTTTCACAGTGCCTCTCCATGTGCATAGTGGGGAACTGTCAAGGACAAGCTCAAACTGGATGGATAGGCCACTTGGCTTGAGTACAGACTGTAATTTACTTACTCTAATTTTCGACATGTACTAATTTATTTCTCACTGAATCACCACTGTGTATCTTATTAAGCAAATATATTTCCTTTTATTTTACTTCCTTTGAATAGGGTTTTAAGGTTGGTTGTACTGTCCTCAAAAAGTCTTCTTTGCTGATTGTATAATTAAACCTAGAAAAGTCTACAGTTAAAGTGCTTTCAACAGAGAATGGTCAAATACTGACAGAAATGAAAAGAAAGAACCATCAATAGGGCTATATGTGGGAAGAATTTTTAGATGAGCCACATGGCTTCAGTGCAGACTTCATCCACCTACTCTCCTCTCCACAAAGGCCTGCTTGCTTTTACTCTGACTTGTTTTGCTTACTTTAAATTCTGTGTGGGATCTTAGGCCCAAAAGATCATTAAGCTTGCTTTGCAAGATCATACAATTTTAATTAATCAACTTACCAATAATATATGCTTTACGCCAAGATCTGGTTTCCAATCTTTTTTTAGCGTGTTAACACAGATTTCTCCGTTACTGGCTACATTCGGGTGAAATATTTTGGTGGAAAAAAATCCTGAAGAAGCAAATGGAAATGTATACAATAAGAAGTCAGAAACTTATTCCCCACTCCTGAATATGTGAGGCTTTGGTAGGGTTTTATTACATTATTGGCAGCTCTTCATGTCCAGCCCAGTTGGGAGATTTGCGTATTTTTGTCCCCTGACTACAGAAATGTTTGACATTGGTCGCAATTTGCGGGAATGTACAAGATGTTGGCTACTCTTCTTGTACAGATTCATGGGCATTCTTAGATGGCACCCATTGCCCTTGCAAAGATTTTAAAGTAAAACAGAATAAACCCTGGTATGAGAAATAATGAAACCTGTATCTGAACACCTCAAAGTCGGTAGAATCCAAATATTTCACTTTGACCTCAATCAGTATTGTAGAAGTATTTTTTTTGTGTATTATTACAGTTTTACAACTATTTTATTGTTTATATCTAATTAAACTATCTAGCTGCAATGTATACATAAATAGAGTATGTATCAAAATATCAATCCATCCTTAGGGCATCCAATAAGTGCTGGAAAGCAACTACATTTTTGCATGTGATTTCTGTTTTACTAAAAAAACATGTCTTCCAAGTTCTAATCCCTTCAACTCTCAAGACCTGATTGTTAAATTTCTCCTCTAGGTGCTACACATATCCTTGTTAATTAGTTACAAGAATTTGGTATTAATTAGTTCTTATTAACTGAGCGGGAGGTCTGTATGGGAGAATCTTGACCGAGGTCGCCAGTACAGACCGAATGCAGCGAGGTCTGTACCAGTGACCGAGGTCAAGATTCTCCCATACAGAATGACCTAGCTCGGATAATAAGATGTTTATTATATGGCTGTGTCTTATATGCCAATTTTTTATATTCTTTGTACCTTTTTTTTCGAGACCAGTCTAGATGCCAGTCTGGATGGGAAAATCTAGACCGCTTTCAATATTGATTTCAGCCAATCAAATTTGTGAATTCAGTAGTTCCCAGTCCTTGTGAGACACAGCCATACAATAATACAAGATGAAAACTTCTACCTGATAAATATATCTTATTAACCAAGCGCGAGGGCCGTACTGGGAGAATATTGGTTCGAGGTCTTGACAACAGGAACCCAGCGCAGCGAGGTCCATACAAAAAAGACTGAGGGCTGATAATCTTCCAGTACGGTCCCGAGCAAGCTTGGTTGATAAGAGATTTATTATACGACTGAAGTTCAAAGGGATACAAGTGCGGTATCATTCGGGACCATTTGGGACAGTGCCTGGTCCAATACTTAGAGAATATTTGACCGGCAATAGAGCATTTTGATTGGTTGATTTTAGTTATTGGCCCTGTGACTGCCTGAGTCGTGTAATAAAATTGAGTATTCTCATTATCTGTTTGCTGGATTGTAGGATAATGTATAAATATTATGGGAAGAAGTTACAAATTGATCACTCGCGGGAGTCAAAGGGTCAAGTAAATTGGTTTGCCTAAAGTTTCGTTCACAGTGTCATTCAAACAATTCTTGCCATGCACCAGAACCAAACAGTGTATAAACAAACCATAACACAAAGTACAAACTCTCAAAATTTTGGATCAAACGTAACTCATCCTACGCAAGAATAAGCCTCCTGGTCACCATAGCACAAACAGTTTTAAACCCATTTTCAGTTGTAACATTTGGATTTTTAATGTTAATGATCTGTTCATTAAAATCTTCAGGGTCTTTTGTTTAAAAAAAAAATAAAGGTAATTTGAAAAGTCACAAAGTAACAATAAAACTGGCCAAGCACTTGATACTTGCCTGGAAAGTGAATGTTTTTACAAAGGTTATTTCTTGAAAACAAAAACAAAAGTCACATGCAAAAAGTACCGAACTTTTGGGCACTCTAGGAGCTGGACATAAAGCACAGGGCTGTGATCAAGCAGTGCCTGGTGGCCCCTGGTGCCTTACTTTTGCTTTTGGGCGACTCAGGAATCTTAGTTTTTTCATTAAAAGTATATGCTGGGCGCCCTGGATTTTACAGTTTCTAAGCAATGGGCTCCCTTCAATTTTTCTAAGAGCACAGCCTTGAAGCATATAATGTAAAACATCACTTTGTTAAAAATACCTTATGGTGTTGTTTATGTCAGAAACATATACCAAGCCTAAACACTTAAAATTTGCAGAAAGAAATGAGATCACAAAGTAATCATTTTTTTTTTGGCAACATAATTTTTCCTATAATCATTCAGTAGAGGTGAAGATATGCTCCTCGAAAAAAAAAAGAGATACTAGTCATCAGTTTGTAAAAAAAGAAAAATCCGAATGTCTCAAACATCATTTTTGTTGATTGTTTAAGATTAGAGCTGCCCTCTTAACAGAGGTTCCAAGATCTGTAAAATCACCTTCAAGGTTGGGAGCTTTGATCATCCACTAAACCAGTAAACGTAACATGTTAACAGTCGACGAGTGAAAGAAATCAATGCCTTCAAACCGTTTCAGTTTGTGTTAAAAGAAATACTAAGGAAGAATGAAAGACAGAGTACAAAAGTACAATAACCAATGATTTGTACAGTGACAATACTAAATGTTCACATCATATGCATAACATCCTAGTTCTGACTAGCTACGTTTGTACCTTTTGGAGGACTGGCAGGAAAATCCTTCCCAAGAACTAGTTTCACTCGAAAGAGTCCTCCTTCGTAAGGGGTACCAGCTGTTCAAATCAGTAAAAATGCATTCCACGGTTAAATTTTCAAGCTAGGGCACCGTAAAACGGAACAAGAATTCAAATTTAACAACATCTACTCTATATCTACCTGAACCACTTGGAGTTTTGAATTGCAATATATTTTCGCATCAAACACTAAAGAAACATACCTGGGCCTTCTATTGTTGCTTGTATGTCTGTTATATCTTCATCGTTGCTTAAAATCTTGATGCCTTCGGGAGGATCACAAGACAAACTCCTAAGCTCTTTCATAACTTGCTTGAGGATTTGAGGATGAAGATTCTCGACGTTCGAACTTGTCTGAAATGCGTGTAAAAGAAGGATTGATCAGCCCTTGGAAATCTGCAAAATTCTGACAACAAAGTTCTTACCGATGCCATTCGCTTGAGTCTTTCTCCAATCCAAGGCTTAGGAAAAAGCGAACAAAACTCGGGAATTACGGCTACTCTGATAGTAGAGTTCGTTTTCCGTAAGCCAACGCACAGAAGAGCGTACGGTTTTTGGTTTGTTATTCTATTAACCAATCAAATTGCAGATTGAAGGAACGAGAGGTCCTGGTTCTTGAGCAGGCGCGGCTGCACGTGACAAAAGTGCCACCGGCTACACAGGTCCACAGAGGTATGCACTTATGTGAGTCTAGAAAAAAAGAACTTGGCGAAGCAGACTTCAAGGAAGCAATCAAAAATTAACATACGAAAGAAGAGAAAATCAACTGTTTTCAAATTTCAATCAACCAGCCTTTTTCTCCTTCACTGTTTTTCGATCAACTTGTCAGGAATCAGGAACCACTTTACTCTAACAGCCACACGGCTTAGAAATTGATATCTCGTACCTCAGCAGCCAACAGCTCTAGCTACAGGATGCGAAAAAAAGTACTGTCTGAAGAATCAATTGCGACAATTTTAATCAAGTGTCTTATTAAAATGCTTTTGGGTTTAGGTTTCCAAAGCTCTATCAAAAGAGTCACAAGGGCAATGATGCATAATTGGATAATTTTTTTCCTTTGTCTCCAGTTTTAAGCCCAGATTTCGTTATCTTCTGTTCTTTAACAAACTGACGTCAATTTTCCACAGAAGTAAGGTTAACAATGTTCAAAACTAAAGTGAAATGGCGCAGCCTCGTGGTTTCACCGCAAAGTTTGTCATTTCTATGATCAATAAGGTTATAGATGATGGAAAATTGATGTCAATTTGTTTATGATTTTATTAAGCCTGCTTATGCAGCTAAGTTTTCGGGAAATAACGGGCGCAGGCGCGCATTACGAACCAAGAATTTTCCTTTTTTTCTTGTTTGTTTTTTTTTTTTCCACGTTTTCGTTCGTTTCGACGAATTCTTCAAAAATTTCTGCTAGTATCCCAGTCTAAGATTGAGAAACTCTTCGCTGTCCACATTTCTAATATTTGCAAATGTTTCCACGCGAATAAATTTTTCTCCGACAGATTGCTGAGTATTGCTGAGTATTGCGTCATCAGTTATGATCTACAACCTTCTTGACAATGGCTCTCGACCAATGAGCACGCGAGAATTTCCACGGTTATTGTAAAATACTGTTTTGTTGTTATTTTGTCGTGGTTTTATTTTTTTCCCGCCCCGTATATGATTACTTTCTAGAATAAAGTTTTGAGACCTGTTGTTGCCGTTTATTAACATAACAATCTTTTCGCATAAACACAATTTGTATTATAACCTAGCCTTTCAAACAAAACAAAAGAAAAAAATATCCAAGAAAAGTAAATATTTGCGCAGAAATGTCATGAGTTTTAGCATTTCTCAACAGGCTAGAAGTCATGTAAAAATTGAACAACTAGCTACAGTTTATTATATCTAGACAAAGGATTCTGGGATATCCCGCTTGTTTCAGCTTGTCAGTTAGTGACAGCGATGTATCAGTTTTGTATCAGTGCGAAAAAATAAAAGAACCGAGGAGCTGATGACGCACACAGTGCGACGATTTCAGGCCCAATTCCGTTTGGGGAAAAAAAATCATGCCAGCCAGATAATGGCTCCAATAAACACAACAGGAAGTCGATAAACAGAGAAGTCAGCGAGCGAGACCCCTCTGACTTTTGTATTTTGCTTTACTATTTATGTGAATTCGACTTAACCTTTGAACCAATCCCTCTAAGAGTGACCGGCATCTAATTTCTCCATACCGCATCATCCTTGAATCAAACATTAAAGTCATGACAATGACGGAAATGATCACCAATCACGGAAGTTCCTAATTGTCACACAAATTCTCCTAGTCAGGACTAGAGGAAATGTAAAGAGAAGTGTGTGGAGAATATTAATTACAATGATAAAGATTGAAGGGAATGGTGTAGTGGTGAGAGCGCTCGCCTCCCACCGCTGTGGCCCGGGTTCGATTCCCGGACCTGGCGTCACATGTGGGTTGAGTTTGTTGTTGGTTCTTGTCTTTGCTCCGAGGGATTTTTACCGGGCCCTCCGATTCCATCTGGATAAAGTGGACAAGAAGAGCCACCCAGTGGAATATTCATTGCTATATCATCATCATCATCAATTATTATTATTATTATTATTATTATTATTATCATTATCATGAAGGGTTAAAAAGTAATTTCAAGATTGCTCTAAGGTTCACATAAAAGACACGGTTCATCAATGTACAAAAATATTTATCAAACTAACGAAGATTTTTATTGCAGATTCTTCCATGAAATTTAATGGCACAAGAATTGAAACTTGAAGGAGTTTTCTTACTTCAGCTTTATCAAAAGGTAGCAGTATAGTCGAAATATATATTTTGTGATAATGGCTTCCGAAGTTAAATATCTAACTACTAAAAGCAGTTCATGATCTGTTGCTTCCAGCCAATTTTTAGAGCTGGCGGTTAATTTGGTAGTCCGAGAAAGTGAAGCTGACAGGGCCGGGAAAAACGAGCCATAGAGCTCCTTTTCTTTTTTCCTTCTTCCTAAATCTTTCACTTTCGCTGACCATCTCTGGCCGCATGCCGCCGCCTCCGGCTCCACCGCTAGAACAACCAAAATAAGTAGACCTTACACGCATGCGTCTCGGTTTGTTTATCTTGAAGAATCAACCGCCAAAATTGAACTTTCTAATATTGCATTTTCAATCCGTTTTAATCAATGAACGTTAGTCATTTTCTTCCTCTAGTGGTTTACACTGTCTTCTTTTCTATTGCGACACTTTCTCACTTAAGGATTCATTTGCTGAGTTAATAAAAATCTAGGACGGACCAAATAACCGTGGAGATATTGTGAAATTACTCTTCTTCGTCGAAAGATTGTCATGTTTAAAAAATATATATATATATATCGCAAAAGTCAGAATGACCATCTGTCTTCACTCGCTTATTCCTCCAATTTCAAGTTCCGGTTTTGAAGAAATTTTGTTGTAGGCTACCTCTGGCTTGACGTTTTTTCAGACCGAGATGAGCCTGAAATCATCGGGTTGTAAGTCACCTAGCCATGGAAAGATCGAGTATTTTCGAATGAGAACTCGCAATCTAGATACTTTGCTTGTTTATTTGCTTTTTGTATTTTTGCCATATCATCAGGCATTATCTTCTAGACATGTTGTTTGAAATCGCCGTTACACGAGAGGACGTTTGATCAGTTCCTTTATTCTAAATAGTTGTATGACGTATCTGCTACGATTATAAAATCTCTCTTGCAGTGTAAACGAAAAGTCATAAATTTCTTCATTGCGTTAATTCCGTTGGTGAATGACAAGTTTCTCGATAGCTCGAGCTCGTAATAACGATACGGTATGGCCATTCGAAAAACAATAACAATCGTACACTGATAAGACCCAACTGTTAAAATTTTAGGCGTTAAATCTACGTAAGTTTGACCACATCACGGATGAAAATTCAGAAATTCAGTTTCGATGTTCGGTACCGATACATAGCGTCATATATGGAAATTTTGAGTGTTCGGCATTAATAATTGTCTTAAAAAACGCATATTTGAGTGAATATTGTTATCCAAATGTGAGGAAGAGGAGGTTGAGTAAAACCAGCATAAAAGCTGTAAACAAATGAATGTACGGCTAGACGAAAATAAAAACGCATTTGACTTGTTTGTTATGATGCCCAGGTCAAAATTCGCTGAACCTGAACCAATAAAGTTCCAAAATATAATTTGTGAAGTAAAACGTAACAAAGCGCATTCATTAAACGCACTACGCTGTGTAAATGACGAACATAAAATACTTCCTTGATTGTCAACGGATTTTATTTTCTATTCTAAGCCAAATAAATTTTCTTGTCTGCTGAGTGGCATGATATTTGTGTTGAACAGAAAATCTGTAGCAGATATTGTAAACTGTAACCTTTAAGAGCAACGGTGAGTTGTTCCTACATCACAGCACAAATGTAAACAAAAGAAGAAAATCATTGAGTTTATTTTCCAAAAATATTGAGTAGGAAGTTCACTCGCTTAATTCATTTTCTAAGTTAGGTTTATTTTTACTTCTTGCTGAGTTTTCGTAGGCGCATGAAGTTTTTTGAGCCGCTATTCTTTATAATTTTTTTTGCATAACTTTTTTTTTTTTGCAATTTCTAGCGCTCATTTTGCGTGCGGTCGAAAAGAAGTCATTTGACAGATGTCCCTCACGTGCATTTTGCTCAGCCGCTTGTGATTGGCTAAGAAAGTGACCTTTCTCAAGAATACGGGTTGAGATCTCGGGATAAAATGGCGCCGTAAGAATTTGGTTCGTTTAGAACGATGCACAGAAGCGAATTATTAGAAGTTTGTTTTGTCTAGCGACTCGTCGGAAAGAAAAAGAGGGTTTTAAAGTAGACTGATTTCTTTGAGTGTTTTAGGGCTGAGAGGAATAATCGCTCTCCTTTGTCACAGCCACAAGTTCTGGCTTGTATTCATAAATTCAAGTGGATTTCAGGTACTAACTTTAGTTTTGGACTTTCAGTCTTTAACACTTAATTATTTATGACTACGGTTTTTAGCGAATTGTGAGCGGCGGATCGCTGCCAGGTACTCGCAGATGTTTTGGTTGCCATCCTATCAAACTCTTTGTAGAAGTTTACTTGGTTGAAACAGTAATGACGTTAAGACTTGTGACAAAATTTCCACATCTAATTTTTCTCGCTTTTCAGGAATGGAAATCCAGAATAAATGCAGCTAAAAATAGACGTTTCATAAACTACCTTAAAGTGGGCGAATATGATCACTGAAACCGTATCGTAATCCACTAGAACGCTATGAACTGAATAGAGCTGTCTGTATCCATAACACCAACCGACAAAACCCTCTCTATGAACTGGCGTAACTTTTCTGATATGACGCGAAATACCTCACGAACAGAGATGATTTGCTGCTTCCGGTCGTGCACGATTCCAGTGATAAATGAAGGTTGCCTAGCATTCTCGAAGCATCATCACCAGGTTGACATGTGAAAGGAAAAAAAATAATAATTGCGAAAAATTAACGAAAAACATTGTAATAAATTATGAAAAAAAATATTTCACCGACAGTTGTCTTGTTCATCGTTAGAGCCGAATGGTGTGGATAATTTTTGCCTTCAAAAAAATTCCTTCTCATAGGTTAACATCCTGATTTTAAATTGATCCATGTTTAATTAAGACAACATCTCGGAGAGTTAATCCAGGCCCGTCTCTGTGGCCATGGTCCAAATGAAGTCAAACGATGCTTCATTCAACGAAATGAAAAATGGTGTTTGAAAGTTAAGAAACCGAATCTTTAAAAAATAATATTTTGGGAACGACAACACGGTTTTACACCCTCCAGTAAATGCGACGGATTTGACGAGGCATTTCCGCTTAAATTCCCAAATGAAAACTAGGCCGGTATTGTTGTATCAAATTTCCTTGTCGCGGTTTTGTTGATGATAATTTGTCTGCCTTGCCGAACAGCAAGGGAGAGCGGAATTTTTGCTCTCCCCTGTAGAAGACGGACTCGGTATTTGATTTTGAGCTTGGAATATTTTTGCATTGGTTGACTGAAAAGGAATCAGCAGTGATCTGTCGCTTTTGTGATGCGTTTTGTAATGTAAATCTCTGTCAGACGCGACGCCATTCGCATGAATCTTTCTTCAATATCGTCGATTATTGTGTGCGCACGCGTAGTGGCTGAAGCCCGACTGCGAAAGCAAAATAAGACGGAGTGTTTTTTTGTCTACTAACGTTGGCCCGCTTTCGCGGAACAAGCTTGCTTAAGGTAAATGCTGGACTGTAGTTATATTCTTTATTTTTCGGTGTAAGTCTTGGTTATGTACAGTTCGTGTTCGGTGCGGGCGCTAGCTTATAATTTGTGAAACTATGGTGCGGATTTTGCAAAGATGGCTGGTTGGCTAATGTGTCTGTCACCCGAGAGGCGACTTGGAAGACAACGTGACGGCCAAGTCATTCGCTAGCGAACCTCAGCGCTCTGAATTGGCAAACAAACTCGTAAATTTAGCATCATTATTTTGTGAAGTTTGATATTGATACTATGGAATGACTGCGGATGCATTTGGGACTTTTAAGGAGGTCTTTTTAAACGCAGATTTAATCGCCCATTTTTGAGTTAACTGAGATGGAAACGTGACGAAACGAGCTTGCGAATTCCATCATATTGATAGCCCTGGACTCTACGATAAGTGTAGTCTTGCCCCTTTTGCCTGTTATTCCACACAGCCTGTAGCGATTTTGGATACAGGGTCAAGAGTTATTTCTGAAGGCGTAGCAAAATAACCACAATTAACAGAGCGTTTTACATGTCGGCTCATCAGACACAATCCGGGCGCGCATATTGCTAAAATCGAAAACGAACGATTACATTAAATATGAAGGGAATCGCCATAAATGTGGAGGCCAAAGCCATGGATAACACTTGTGAAACTTAAAAATTACAAACTACCACTGCCCTACTAATATTCAGCCAAATGCTAACGGCGTGATTCTACTGTTGTAACATGTCACCGACTTCACATTCATGTGCGCCCAAAAGCTTATTTGCACATCGTATTGTGTTTCATGACTTGTCTTGCGAGAGCAAATTTACTTGTATTAGCTTCAAAAGAATAAATGCATTTCAAACTGGGAGGCTTGAAAATGAACGAATTATTGCTACTAATGACTGAGCGCATTCATCGGTAAATGGTCAAAAGTTTCGCCGAAACGAACAATGTTCGGCTTCTAATTTAACGCCGTAAGTGGCACATTTTCAACGCGTGTTTTCGAAGTCTACGCTCTATTGAGCACGTAAGAGTGAATAAATTTGCAACTCGCCGCAGCGACTTTTCTTACGCTAAAACTGCCGTCGTGCTCATTACAAAATTATCCCACACTTTAAGATAATTGTTGTCATCTATTTGTCTCCGCGAAGAGCGTATTTCTCGCATAAGATCACGCTATGATGTTTCGAAAGGAATATAGGCTTCTTCTAGTGACTAGATAGCCTGAAGTAATTAATATTCATGGAGGTGTTTCGAGCAGATTGTTTGTCTAGTTCGTCGCTCAAGTTAGTCTTTTACTATTCGTAGTTTAAGTATCAGCATGTTTCTTCTGCGTTAAAACCTTTTAAGAATATTTTCTCATGGAAATCGTTATTTTTGGGTTAAGTCTCAAATGACGCGACCCGAAAGGTGTCATCTTGGGTTTCAATAGGTTTTACATAAACTTAGTGTTACCTGCGAGCAGTGATGTTTTCTGATCAGACCTTTACGGGAAAAATGTAGATTGTGACTAAATACTCCACTCTGGGATATAGGCAAACGTTATGAAAAGTTGAAATAATGTTAGAAGCGAGTATTTGCTAAATTCTACTCTAGCCTGTCTTTTTAAAATGCATGGAATTTTTTACTCAAAAAGATTACTTGTACATTTAACAGATATTTTATCCATGAAGGAAAGACAACATTTTTTGTTTGTTGCCAGGAACTAATACCCATACTTTTAGCTACTTTTGACAATTAATGTCAGTATATTTATAGCTAAAAATTATTTGTCATTTAATTTTAAAAACACAACATGAATGTTAGTTGAATTGAAAGTACAATTTTTTTTCCAGAAGGCAAGCTGCTGTTTAGAGGCAATTGGTAGTATTAAAAAATTATACTGTCAAGTCACATGTAATCTTTTTACACACTGAATACTAACTTGATCTGGATAGTTCCTCACTAAAAACATGATTGTTGGTGTCTACTATACAACCACATTTTTTGGAGAAAACATCTTTCTTTTCTGAAGTAAGCATTAATATTAACAATTTCCTGTTATTTTATAATGATCAGTGTCAACATTTTTGATTGCTGAATTGACAAGTTCTGTGGATGGAGTAATATGTTGATTTGTAGTTCATGGAAGACAATCATTAACATATGAAAATTAGGTCACATTGACTTTTTGAGAAACATTTCAATTTGTTCCAAAATCACATATCTTTTATTAGTGACATTAAGCTCCAAAAACAAATTGTTTTAAAAAAATGACCTTAAAAATATTATCTAATATTAGTGAGGTTCATTTTTTTCTTCTATTTTCAATCAGGTAAAATTACGATCATTTCTTAATTATAGCACAGCATTTGTTATGTGTTTAAAATGATGCCTGTTCTGTTATTTTCACAATGTCGCAGAAAAGACATCTTACTTTCAGAGAGTTTCACCCATCTGTTAAGATGTTACTTTGATTACATTATTACAAATCATGTGCTAGTAAGAAATCTGTTTGGTTATTGCCTTCTTTATGACATAAAATAATTTTGCAGCTATCAAAATATTCAGCAGATCTATGTTAAATAAATTAAATAAATATGTCAAATCTTTGCAAGTATTTGAATGTTGGTTACATGTCAAGCCATAAATTTCTCTAATTGCCTGCTCAATGTTTTCTAAAGAATTTTGTGTTGAAATGAACTAGTTGCTGCTCAAGGACCAAATTTGTTAAAACTGATCATATATGTTTTTTTTGTCCCAGTTACTAGGTTTTGGTAGAAAACTTTTTCATCATGAATTACTTTTTTGAGTTTAAGGTCAGTTTTCTAGATCTATAAACAAAAGAATTGTTAAGATTTATAAGGGAAGTTCAACTAACTATAGAAAGAGGTAGGATTCATGCTAGGAAATTTTCCATGACTGTATTCATTTTGAGTTACGTTGCTATACTGACAGAATAATGTAACAATCATTGCAAAGAAGTTTTAGAAATGTTTCACTCCCAAGATCTCATTAGTAATTCTCCTAACTGTCTACTATACAGTTCTTCTGATTTTAGTTTGGAGAATTAGTATTGGATCAACTGATAATCCCCTGATTTTCTTTTTTCCTTATTCTCTTTACTTGTCTGCTTGATATTGCATTGATATTATAAGGAGAAGTTCTGCCCTGGTCACTCATAGAAAAAGTTTGAAGCAGGAGGGACATAAATGGTAGACAAAGTATAACCACCTTTAAATGCTTATTGATCCTTTAGTGACAATCTTATAACTTTTACCAAAGCATGAAAGGGGAACATATTTGAATGGACAGTGTTACTATAACCAAAAACATTTTGGGCTTTTAAAAGGACCCTATTGCTGATTTAGATTTTAATGAGATTATCCACACTTGGAATTTTTTATGGTTATGTTAATGGATGTAGTTCTAGATCTGAAAATACCAGGGCCATAGTAAGGTTATATTGGTATTTATCATATGCAAATTTTGTTGCAAAGCTCTTAAAGGAAAAAAACTGATTATAATTGGAATAATGTACTAGTTAGTTTCAGTGCACCCAAGAAATTGCAAAATTACCACTTAGTATTTGTCTGTAATATATTTACATACCTAGATTTTGTGTATGTTGGCTTTTTGTTGCCAGTATTGTTTACCAATTTATGAATAGATCAGTGAAAGAAAAGAACAAAGACTCTTTTATCTTCAGTCATTCCTGAAAGGGATACTGTTTGTACCATAATTATGGTAAACTCTATTAATTTTTCAAATGAAATGTTTCAGTTTTGAAACTGAAAATGCTCTTTACTCAAGTTGTATATTGCAACTTTAGATTATGGGACGGTTTATTTGGCATCAGAAATAGGTACTTTCTCAGTCCCTGAAGTTGAAGGCTCAATATATTTGATAGCAGTTGTTTTTGAAGAAAATTTGCAAACCCAGTAGACTGGGATGCAACATAAAATTAAGGATATTGTGAACATACTTTCCATCATGCAATAATTTGCATGGTTGAATGAACACAACTTTGGAAATTATGTTGCTTAAGTACTGTGGAGTGTTGGGCATATTTTGTGCATTTCCAATATCACAAACATTTTTTGGGTCTACAGAAGAATTTGATCACAAGTAAATGTTCACTAAACCAAATAATTAAAAAGTGAAATGAAAGATACATGTACATGTGGATCAGGTGCCTTGCAGTCTTAAACATACTCATTTAAAAGTTTCCTTCAATCTGATGCCTGATCATGTTGCAATTTTTTTCTCTGTTGTAGAAAATTGTAAGTTGGCAGAAGTAATATGACTTATTTTTGGGGATATCTTACAATAATTATGTTGTGGAAGTTGCAAGGCTAGGCCTGTCACTATGCTTAGCAGATTCAAGACTTAATAATTATAGGGAACTTGAGTAAAGATAAATAGCAGCTGAGTGCAGAATTAAAGGCCTGCCTTCATGCTTATGTATATTGTTAAGGGTAAGGTCATCATGTCGCATTTTAAATCAAATTGTGTGGACCAAAAATATTTATAACATAACCAAAGTTAAGCGAGCGCTCTGATTGGTCAATTTAGCGTCCCCCATTTGCCCGTGGGTGTATGCTGCTGACGTGAGCAAATGCAAAGGCTATTTTTCTGCGTACGCTTGTTTTTTTCTGGTCACGCAAGATTTGTTAAGTAAAAGGGAACTCGATAGCTTCAATGTATCAATATAAGAAGCTAGAGTCGCTCTTGGCTATCGCCTCGTGCAACTCTTATGCTTCTTTCATGCTTACCAACCTCCCACGTGCATGCATGACTCAATAGTGTATGCTGTGGTGTTTACCATTTGTTAAGTACTGAGCACCAGGAAGGAGTAATTTTTACTTCCAGCTACTGTTGGCATCTAAAAAAGATCATTAGTGCTTAAGCTCCCTACCTTGCAGAGTTAAAAAAAATAATTTATTTTTACAAGTATTAGAAAAAAAAATGTGTGAGTAGCAGACAAACATTGGAAGCCTGCTTCATTAGGATTTCAAATTAAATTGTCTCAGTTTTGATTGTTGTTTTAGGGAGATGATGGAGACTGACTCTACACCTGAGAATGATCAGGAAGACCATCTGACTGGTGTAACATTGGACACAGTTGCTCTGGATACAGAAAGTGATCAGCAAACTTTAGAAGTGGTGTCATCTGGTGACTCTATTATGTCCACATGTATAGAGGATACAAATGGATAGAAGAACAGCTATCTTTCTACTGAATCAGTTGTACAAGAAGTATCTTTGGAATCTGACCAATTGGAAGATGATGTGGAAGGGAATCAGCCAGATTGTGACACAAATGTTAGTTGGGGTGAAAGTAAACCATTGATATCCAGCTGTAAAAATTCAGAAAACTTTTTTGTGATGACAAAAAAAATACTGTAGTTTGATTTTAATTTATGTGCTTTTCTAGAAATACTTTGGTTGGTAATTAGGGGAAATTGGAAGACATTGTATTGGTCAGTTTTTCTATTTGACAAATTTTTTTCTTTATTTTAGTGGCCATTATTGAAATAAATGAAATAATGAATAAATAAGTGCAGGGGTTTCATTAATGTTTTCAGCAGGAGAGCAACTGGTTTTCACAGGTGGGCAAAACTTTTTGAACTAAACTTCTTTATAAGATAAACCTTCCTCCAGACTGTTAAACCAGGTGGGGCAAAACTGTCCTAACTGGTCAATTTGGCCGGGTGCCCGGCCTTTAATGAAACCCCTGTAAGTGGGATTTAGTAATGAACATTCCATGAGGTGGCTCTTCTGGTTGAATTGGAATTTAGAATGTTGGTTTTTTTGTGGAGGGAGGAAAACTGGAGGACCCAGAGAAAAACCCCAGGAACAAGGATAAAAACCCTGGCCAAAGTGGTGGGAGGTGAGCGCTCTCACCACTTTGCCTTCCCTGCTCTCTGTTCTTTGAATCTCTTCATTACATTTGTTGAAACAACTGTTAAATAGTTTTTATTGTATTTCTAGTTTATTGTTTGTGTTTGGTAATTTGTTTCATTTTTCTCCTAATCTTAAATTGTTGATTGGGATACTTTAATTTATGACTTTCAATTCTGTAAATGTTATTTATGCTACACTAATCTAGAGAATTATTTTCTTCAAAGCTGTTTCTAAGTGTAGTGTGTGGTCTTTTGTAGGATATACATCCTGAAACTGGTGAGAGTAAAGAAGATGACCCTCTTGCCAACAATGAAGCAACAGAAGACCAAGCAACAGAAGAGAATGCAGAAGCAGAAGAAGTTGTTGCCATGACAGATGTCAGCAAAATGCCATCAAATCCTTCATCTTTTTTTGAAGACAAAGGAACAGATGATTTCTTGCATGACCAGGATGACAAGCCTGTCAAATTTGGAAAAATAGTGGATCCTCATGTTTTGGGGTGCTGTGAATTCTGTGGTGGTCCAGTCAAGAGGCGACGGTATTGTTCTCCTGTGAAACGATTCTGCTCTAAGGGTTGCTCTCGCAGTTCTAGAAAAGCCAACCAAAAGGTATGTGATTTTAAGATGACCATAAAGTAGGAAACAGGACATTTAATTCACAGAATAATAGAAGATCAGACAAAATTAAACACAACCAGAGCAAGTGTCTCTATTTATCGTGCTGATTTGGTTCATTTCTACTCTCCCAAGTGGTTTAGGTGAGCAGGTTGCAAGTGGCAGTCAGCTTTATCTTAGCCAAGAGATTGGGGGGTGGGCCTTAGCTTTCCTCACACCAAATCTTTCTTTTGGGCATGTTTGATATATCTGTATCTTTCAGAAGAAAGAAGGAGAAGACAATGGACAGGATTCTGATGAAGGTAGCACCACAGGAGGTTTGTTTGTATTCTTGTTTTTTATAATAAATTTTTGGTTTTTCATATCAAGATATTTGGAATTGCAATTTCTTTAACTTTGTGTTGTTTCTTGTACACATACTGGATTGTTGTGGAAATACGCTTAACTATTAGTGAGAAACACTCACAAGCTAGTTTTCAGGGATTACAACAAAACTTAAGTAATTAAAAATAGAATAAAATGCTATGAATAAATGTAACATAATTAAGTACCCAGTTTTGGTCTGATTGACTGTAGTGATTACAATACTTAAGTTGTGATTTGATTTTGATGTGGATAAGATGAGAGAAGCTGTGTTAACTTATCCATCTATCTTTGAAATTTTCCAGTCACTGAAGGTGAAGCCCCACATAAATTTACTTGGAGTGATTACATGGAAGCAGCTTTAAGCAAAGCTGCTCCTGATTGCTGCTTCAAACATGTAAGTACACATAGTTAACCCTTTGCCCCTTACAGTGACTAGTATCTAATTTCTCCCTACAACATCACCCCTAAATCACACATTTAGGTCAGGAGAATAAAGGAGATGATCACCAACTATAGAAGCTCTTTAGTTAAAAGTTAATTCTCCTTGCCAGCACTTTAGGAAATGCATAGAGAGCAGTACTAGTTTAGAGAATACTGTAAATCCTCTAATAAGCACCCCCCTAATAAGTCCGGCCCTCTAATAAGCCCCTCTCTTTTGAGAAAGAAATTTATTAAGCCCTCCCACCCCTCCCCCTCAAAAAA